ATTGATTTCAGAGAGAGGAAGGGAGAGAGAGATAGCGACATCCACGATGAGAGGGAATCATGGACCGGCCGCCTCCCGCACGCCCCGCACCAGGGGGATCCAGCCCGCAAACCCGGGCCTGTGCCCTGGACCGGGAATCGAACCCAGGACCCTTCAATCCGCAGGCCGACGCTCTGTCCACTGAGCCACACCGGCCGGGGTTCAACTTAGATCTTTCATGAGCCTGTTGTCTCTTCTGCATCTAAGATGACGCAACCTGTGAAATGAATGTCTGGGTCGCTTGGAACTTGCTTTTTCCTGGACGGCACCCCCCCCCCCCAGCCCCTCAGGACACAGACCACCAATCCCCCTTCATTGCTACCGAGTTAACTGTCCTGCACCCAGTTGAGTCCAAGAAGCAATGTGCCCATCATTTTATTTTTTATCCAATCCCAGAGGTTTTCCCGGCTTGGCTTTCTCCCCCCCCCGGCCGCCCAGAAATCAGGATTTTTAAAAAGATTCCCAGGTGATTCTAAGGTGCGGCCAAGGTTGAGAACCATTGCCCTAAAACAAGGTGGGTCCTAGCTGGTGTGGCTCAGTGGATAGGGCACCGGCCTGCGGACTGAAGGGTCCCGGGTTCGATTCCCGGTCAAGGGCACAGGCCCGGGTTGCGGGCTGGATCCCCCTGGTGCGGGGCGTGCGGGAGGCAGGCGATCCATGATTCTCTCTCATCATGGATGTTCCTCTCTCTCTCTCCCTCCCTCTCTGAAATAAATAAAAAATAAATAAATAAAATAAAACGGTGAAAAAATCGCCATTCTCAGGAACATTATCTCAGTCCGTTGAGCTTCTGGCACATGGTGGCAATTGTCAACCACGCGGCTCAAATAAACTCACAAAAATGCTTTACAGGTTTGAATGTTTGTTTTTTTTTACGTAAACAAACGAAAAGTCGCCCTCTCCAACCAGCTCTACCTGCCGGCAAATTGCATTTCCGCTTAATTCGGGCTTTGCCACGGGGTGGCGTCTATTGGCGGTTCCTTTTGTCCCGGTTACTTGCGTAAAAAAAACGCACAACGCGGGAAAGCTTGGAACGAACGCGCGGTGCCAAATTTCGGTTTCTGTTTGAATCCAGGCGCCTCCTTCAAACCGCTTTGCAATTGGGACACAGCAGTGACCTCTCCCTAAAGGGCGGGCCAGGAGGTGGGGCGCTGGCATCCACGGCCCGCCCGCCCGCACCTCCCTTTTCCGGGGCGGAGTCGCCAAACATCGCGGGCAGTTCCGCCTGCGCCATGATGAAGGCGGGCCCGCGAATGCCGGGAGCAGAGAGATATTTACATATTAAAAGGATGAAAGAAAGAGAGATGAAAAGCACCCCCAGACAGGACCGGGTGTGGGGGGGCATATGGCACAGTTGTTTCCAATACACAGTTACCGCGCTTAAGCGCCAAGAGCGCGCAGGCGGCCGTGCGTAAAGGCAGTTGGAGCGCACGGGGCGGATCCCGGGCGCCCCCCGCGCTGTAACTCGGGGGAGGAACACGGCGCCAGGATGGCCCTGATCCGCATTCCCGGGGGGCTCTGGGCTGTAAGCTCCAGCTCATCCGGGGGTCCCCATTTCCCGGTTCCGCCAGGGTTGCGGAATGAGCTGTTCGGACGTTCAGAGGGGACGTGCCCCGGGGGGACCCGGACTGAGGCGTGGCCAGAGAGCTCGTCGCTGGGCCCAGGAGAGGGGTACGTGGCTAGGGGCGCACTGGCTGCGTCCTGGCGAATGTTGAGGGTTGGGAAAAGGAAGACATGAGGCGGGATGGGGTGTCTCTGAGTGTTGCGGGTTGGGGCGCGCGGGGGCGGGTCGTGGCGAGAGTGTTGGACGGAGGTGAGGCCCAACTCCCGAGGGGGGTCACCAGGGTTTGTTGGCGCTCGGGGGGAAAGGGGACCCCACGGGGTTTGCACCTCAAGTGCTTTAGAGAGTGGGGGTGCGCCGGTGACTGGCCGCGCGGGGGAGGGGCGAACGGAGGCGCGTCTTGGAGACCTGGGGGCGGACCCAGGGTGCCTCTCTCGGACTTTCTCCGCCTTTTCTCCTCCCTTCCGCCTCTCCCGACTCCCCTCCTTCCCCTTATCCCGTGGGGCGGGGCACGGCCGCTACCCAAGGCGTTTGGCTGCGCGCCCCTAACCAGGCCTCGAGCTCGGTTTGGGGGAATTCTAGCCACACCCACAGCAGCTCTCTTTCTCGGGGATCCCCGCTCGCCCTGGGGACTGCGCCCTCCCCACTCTTCTCCTTCGCGTCCACCTCCACCCGGTGCCCCCCAGCCCAGGCCCCGGTGCGGGCTGCGCCCCTGGGGTCCCGCGCACCTGGCGGCGGACGAGGCGGGTCCCCTGGTCGCCATCGGACGGAGCGCGCGGGAGCCAGACGCGCCGGAGGACTTTGCCCCGAGCGATCCGGGCCGGAGTCCGGCCCACGGAGCTGTGACTTCGGCACCGTGCGGGCTCCTCCCTCGCTAATCTGCTTAACCTCCTTGGCCTTCTGGGAATAAATCTTTTCTTTCTTTTTTGCGAATTAATCTTGGAAACGGGTTTTTCTGCACCCAGGGCGGCTGGGATCAAAGAGGAGCTGGTTTTATATATTTACTGGAAGCCCGGGCGCACGAATCCGAGCCAGGGTGGGGTTGGGGGACATCCCGCACCCCCATGGGGTCCCATCCCGGAGGCTGAGGGGAGGGTTTGGCCAGCCAGTCTGGCCCTGATTGGGTTAACGGGCCCCGCCCTCGATTGGGGGGTCCCATAGGGGGCAGGATCTGGGGTGGCAGGGTGCGGCGGGTGGAGGGCGCCCCGGGGGCAGGCCTGGGGGTGTGTGTGTGTGTGTGAAGGGGCCGCAGGAGGTTGGCTGGCTGCAGCGCGCATCCTAGCCACCTGTGGTTCTGGTTGGTCGGTCGCTTGGTCGCTTGGCTTATATAGAGGGTGTCCCAAAATCCACGCAAGAAGTAATTTTGATAGAAAACACAGGTTTATCATTAAAAATTGTAAATTTTTTATTGATTCGGAAAGGACACAGTCTAGGGTTTATGTATGGAATAGCATATCGGGTCCATGGCCTCCACGTCTTTGCTGGCACAGATGCAAAGCCGCGGTCTCCATGGGTCTTCCTGGTCCCTGCTCCTGGGCCATCATTGGTCCTTGGTGATGCTGATCGAATCGAAGGGATTGACATCCAAGGGCAACAGATATGAGAATCTGATTCAATCAACCGAGTCCAATCAGGCTTTTATTTATGTTTTGTTGTTGTTAATGCTCGCGCAGAATTCAAATCTTGCGTGAATTTTGGGACACCCTTTATATGGAGATGTATTGATTACAGAGAGGGAGACAGAGAAACATCCATGATGAGTGAGACTCCTGGATCAGCGGCCTCCTGCCCGGCTTGATCCCCAGTGTGGGGCGTCCAGGAGGCAGCCGATCCATGATGTTTCTCTCTCTCTATCCCACTCCCTTCCTCTCTGTCTCAAAATCAATACAATTTGACTTTTGCAGCAATTAAATAGTGTAAGAAGCAGGGCTGGTGTGGCTCAGGGGTTGAGAGTCGACCTATGAACCAGGAGGTCACGGGTTTGATTCCCGGTCAGGGCACAGGCCCGGGTTGCGGGCTGGATCCCCAATAGGGGGCGTGCAGGAGGCAGCCGGTCCGTGATTCTCTCTCATCATGGATGTTTCTCTTCCTTCCTCTCTGAAATCAATTAAAATAAAGAAAAAGACAGTGACGAATCTATGTTCTTTAATGTTGGGCCCATCCAGTCCGCATCACTGGCCTGTTGAATTATTCACCTGTTGCGTCATTCGCCTGTTGCGTCACTGGCCTGTTGGATCACTCGCCTCCGGCCCTAAACTCCTTACGGGGACAAAGACGGAGGCTTTGGGGGTGGGGGGCGGGGGCGACTTGGGGTCCTGGGGTCCTTTGTGGAGAAAGCCCTGTAGCATGAGGAGCTTGGCTTGTCACTCGCCTATTGCGTCACTGGCCTGTTGCGTCATTCACCTGTTGCATTACCTGTTGCGTCACTCGCCTATTGCGTCACTGGCCTGTTGAATTATTCGCCTGTTGCATCACTGGCCTGTTACATCACTGCCTGTTGCGTCATTCGCCTCCTGCCCTGAACTCCTTATGGGGACGAAGAAGCAGGCTTTGGGGGGCGGGGGCGACTTGGGGTCCTTTGTGGAGAAAGTCCTGTAGCAGGGGGAGCTTGGCTTCTCACTCGCCTGTTGAATTATTCGCCTGTTGCATTATCTGTTGCGTCACTCGCCTATTGTGCCACCCGCCTGCTGCGTCACTGGCCTGTTGCATTACCGGCCTGTTGCGTCATTCGCCTGTTGCATTGCCTGTTGCGTCATTCGCCTGTTGCGTCGCTTGCCTGTTGCATCATTCACCTTTTGCATTATCTATTGCATCACTCGCCTATTGTGCCACTAGCCTATTGCGTCACTGGCCTGTTGCGTCACTCCCCTGCTGCGTGGCCTGGGCAGCCCTCACGGGCACCTTTTACTAAAGGAAGATGGTCCAGGACTGTCCCATCGCCTCCCCTTCTTGTCAGCATCGCCCCGGCTCTGCAGCGCTCCCCCCCCACCCCCACCCAAGGGCGCCCGGACGTCCCAGCGGCCTCTGATTCCATCCCCGATGGATGGAGACGCCCCGGCCCCCCGGCAACCCGGGCGCCCCCTGGCAGCCACGCGCGGTCACTGTCCGCCCCCTTCGCGGCTGCACCCGCACCTGGGGAGCCCCCCGCAGCAGGGCTGCAGCCACGGCCGCCAGGTGTTGCGGGGCCCGTCCAGCTGCAGGGGGACCCCGGGGCCCAGGGTCCGGCGGTGGCGCTCCACGGCCCGCGCCACGCGCGCCAGCACCCGGTGGAACGCGGGCTCCGTGTCCGGGGTCAGGGCGCGCGCCTCCGAGGGGTCCCGGGCGAGGTCGTAGAGCAACGGGGGGTCGTGGCGGGTCACCCCGGACCCCGAGCAGGGGCAGACCCCGCGCCCGTAGCAGGCGGCCGCGCCCTCGGGGTGGAACACGGGCGTCCGGTAATGCACCTTCCATATGGCGCCTCCTGGAGGGAGAGGCAAGAATCACGGCGCGCCCGGCCGGTGTGGCTCAGTGGGTAGAGCCTGGGCCTGCAGACTTGAAGGGTCCCGGGTTCGATTTCCGGTCAAGGGCACGTGCCGGGCTTGCAAGCTCCATCCCCAACCGGCAGGGGGCGCGCAGGAGGCGACCGATGCATGATTCTCTTATCATTGATGTTTCTCTCCCTCTCCCTTCCTCTCTGACATCAATAAAGAAATATATTTTATTTAAAAATAATAAATAAATAAATAAATAAATAAGCAAGCCCTGGCCGGTGTGGCTCAGTGGGTAGAGCCTGGGCCTGCAGAATGAAGGGTCCCGGGTTCGATTCCCGGTCAACTGTGTGAGTGTGTGCAGAATATCCCTTAAGGCCCAAGCCGGTGTGGCTCAGTGGATAGAGCGTCGACCTGCAGACCAAAGGGTCCCGGGTTCGAATCCCGGTCAAGGGCACAGACCTCGGTTGCAGGCTCCTCCCCGGCCCAGACCCTGGTTGGGGCGCGTGCAGGAGGCAGCCCATCGATGGGTCTCTCTCACATCGATGTTTCTCTGTCTTTCCCTCTCTCTAAAAATCAACGGGAAAATATCCTTGCGTGATTATTAAAAAAAAAAAAAAAAAATCAATAAAAATACTAGTATATTCAAGCCCTGGCCTGTGTGGCTCCGTGGATAGAGCATCGGCGTGCGGACTGACGGGTCCTGGGTTCGATTCCCGGTCAAGGGCACAGGCCCGGGTTGCGGGCTCTGACCCCAGTGGGGGGCGTGCAGGAGGCGGCCGATCCATGATTCTCTCTCATCATGGATGTTTCTCTCTCTCCCTCTCCCTTCCTCTCTGAAATCAACAAAATCTATATAAATTTTTTAAAAAAAGAAATGCCAACAAACACATAAAAATATCCTCAAATAAATATTAGCAAGAAAAAGCAAAGAAAAGCAATGCGCCTGAAAATAATGCACTTGCCAGGTTAGGGTCAGGCGCGCACACAGGCGTGCACGTGGGAGCGTGTGCCTGTGTGTGCACGCGTGTGCGTGTGCATACAACGTCATGCCTAACCCACGGGTCACACCCCGTCTCCCAGAACAAAGCGATGATTGGCAGCTGGGAGGAGGAGACGACCTCCAAGCACCTAATAGCGGAGGGGAGGGGGCAGGGTGCCTCCTGGGCCACTCACGTTCTCGCTGGTGCCACCGGGCCGCGTGCAGAAACTTCTCGCAATAATGCATCAGGAACTCGTGGTCCGAGTGCGGGGCGGTCCCCAGCACCAAGGGGAGCAGGTCCCGGCCGTCTATCACCCTGCAGATGGCACCCCGGAGACGCAGGGTTGGGGTAGCGCTCAGGTGCGCGTGCGTGCGTGCGCGCGCGGAAAGTTAGCGCAAAACTTGGCGAGCTGAGGGGTGCAGCCGGCCACCGGCTTTGATTAAATGCTCATGAGGCAACTGATGGTTCGGCTCCTATTATTGTGTATCGAGTGCAAAAATAAGCTGCCCAGCCCAGCCCGTGTGGCTCAGTGGTTGAGCGTCATCCACCTAGAAGCCAGGAGGACCCCGGTTTGATTCCTGCTCAGGGCACAGGCCCGGGTTTTGGGCTCCATCCCCAGCAGGGGCCGTGCAGGAGGCAGCCGGTCCATGATTCTCTCTCATCGTTGATGTTTCTGTCTCTCCCTCTCTCTGAAATAAATTAAAAAATATATATTTTTATAAAATCTATACTAATAACAGGGTCATTTGCTACTGAGACCGGATGTCTTTTGGACAAAGCCGCGGTGGTGGGGCTGAGGAAGAGGCGGTTAGGGGCGATCAGGCCGGCAGGGGAGGGCAGTTAGGGGCGATCAGGCCGGCAGGGGAGGGCAGTTAGGGGCGATCAGGCCGGCAGGGGAGGGCAGTTAGGAGTGATCAGGCCGGCAGGGGAGGGCAGTTAGGGGCGATCAGGCCGGCAGGGGAGGGCGGTTAGGGGCGACCAGGCCAGCAGGGGAGGGCAGTTCAGGGCGATCAGGCCGGCAGGGGAGGGCGGTTAGGGGCGATCAGGCCGGCAGGGGAGGGCGGTTAGGGCGATCAGGCAGGCAGGGGAGGGCGGTTAGGGGCGATCAGGCCGGCAGGGGAGAGCAGTTAGGGGGCGATCAGGCCGCAGGGGAGGGCGGTTAGGGGCGATCAGGCCGGCAGGGGAGGGCGGTTAGGGGCGATCAGGCCGGCAGGGGAGGGCGGTTAGGGGCTTTCAGGGCCGGCAGGGGAGGGCAGTTAGGGGCGATCAGGCCGGCAGGGGAGGGCAGTTCAGGGCGATCAGGCCGGCAGGGGAGGGCAGTTAGGAGCGATCAGGCTGGCAGGGGAGGGCAGTTAGGGGCGACCAGGCCAGCAGGGGAGGGCGGTTAGGGGCGATCAGGCCGGCAGGGGAGAGCAGTTAGGGGCGATCAGGCCGGCAGGGGAGGGCGGTTAGGGGCGACCAGGCCAGCAGGGGAGGGCAGTTGGGGACAATCAGGCCGGCAGGGGGGGCGGTTAGGGGCGATCAGGCCGGCAGGGGAGGGCAGTTCAGGGCGATCAGGCGGCAGGGGAGGGCTGTTAGGGGCGATCAGGCCGGCAGGGGAGGGCGGTTAGGGGCGATCAGGCAGGCAGGGGAGGGCGGTTAGGGGCGATCAGGCCGGCAGGGGAGGGCGGTTAGGGGCGACCAGGCCAGCAGGGGAGGGCAGTTGGGGACAATCAGGCCGGCAGGGAGGGCGGTTAGGGCGATCAGGCCGGCAGGGGAGGGCAGTTCAGGGCGATCAGGCCGGCAGGGGAGGGCGGTTAGGGGCGATCAGGCCGGCAGGGGAGAGCAGTTAGGGGCGATCAGGCCGGCAGGGGAGGGCGGTTAGGGGCGATCAGGCCGGCAGGGGAGGGCGGTTAGGGGCGATCAGGCCGGCAGGGAGGGCGGTTTAGGGGCTTTCAGGCCGGCAGGGGGAGGGGCGGTTAGGGGCGATCAGGCCGGCAGGGGAGGGCAGTTTCAGGGCGATCAGGCCGGCAGGGGAGGGCAGTTGGGGGCGATCAGGCCGGCAGGGGAGGGCAGTTCGGGGCGATCAGGCCGGCAGGGGAGGGCAGTTAGGAGCGATCAGGCTGGCAGGGGAGGGCAGTTAGGGGCGATCAGGCCGGCAGGGGAGGGCAGTTAGGGGCGATCAGGCCGGCAGGGGAGGGCAGTTAGGAGTGATCAGGCCGGCAGGGGAGGGGGCGGTTAGGGGCGACCAGGCCGGCAGGGGAGGGCAGTTAGGGGCGATCAGGCCGGCAGGGGAGAGCAGTTAGGGGCGATCAGGCCGGCAGGGGAGGGCAGTTAGGGGCGATCAGGCCGGCAGGGGAGGGCAGTTAGGGGCGATCAGGCCGGCAGGGGAGGGCAGTTGGGGGCGATCAGGCCGGCAGGGGAGGGCAGTTAGGGGCGATCAGGCCGGCAGGGGAGGGCAGTTTGGGGGCGATCAGGCCGGCAGGAGAGGGCAGTTAGGGGCGATCAGGCTGGCATGGGTGGGCAGTTGGGGGCGATCAGGCAGGCAGGCATCCCCAAGGGGTCCCAGATTGGAGAGGGTGCAGTCCGGCTGAGGGACCCCCCCCTCCCCCACTGCCGTGCATGAATTTCATGCACTGGGCCTCTAGTATATTTTATAAAATAAAATAAAATAAATTAAAATAAAATAAAATAAAGCAGATACTTGATCCCAGGAGAACATGACAGGAACCCTGAGTCCGTTCCCAGACCCCGACTTCACGGACACTCTACATGCACCACGTGACAGGGGCAGAGACATGGCACATATATGTTGTCTGTGTGCAACATTGAATGGTCGTTTCGGGAAAGGCTGCCCGGTACCTGTCTTGGGGCGTCTCTCCGCCCCCCAGCCGGACCACAGTGGGGAACACGTCCATCAGGCTGGTGGGCTCGTGGACCTCCCGGCCGGCGGGCAGCACCCCGGGCCACCGGAAGATCCCGGGGACCCGGATCCCGCCTTCCCAGCCGCCCATGCCTTTGCCACCTGCAAGGAAATGACATCGTGAGCAATCGCCAGGGGACTGTCCAGCCTATTTTTATTTTATTTTTTTATTGATCTTTCCCCCTTTTTTTTACAGAGAGAGAGAGGAAGGGAGAGGGATACAGAGATAAAAACATTGATGAGCCCTGGCTGCTGTGGCTCAGTGGATAGAGCGTCGGCCTGCGGACTGAAGGGTCCCGGGTTCGAATCCGGTCCAGGGCGTGTACCTGGGTTGCGGGCACATCCCCAGTGGGGGGCGTGCAGGAGGCGGCTGATCGATGTTTCTGCCTCATCGATATTTCTAACTCTCTATTTCCCTCCCTTCCTCTCTGTCAAAAAATCAATAACCTATATTTTTAAAAAAAATCGATACGAAACATTGATGGGCTGCCTTCGGCAAGATCGTGCCCGCCACCAGGACACGTGCTCTGACCCACGTAACACAAGAGCCTAGGAATTGCCAACTGTATTGAACAGAAATAGGAAAGAAACAAATACGTCACTATATCCATTTTGGTCTATTTTTAAAAAAATAGATTTTATTGATTTCAGAGAGGAAGGGACAGAGAGAGGCAGAAACATCCATGAGGAGAGAGAATCCCGGACCGGCTGCCTCCTGCACGCCCCCGACCGGGGATGGAGCCCGCAACCCGGGCATGTGCCCTTGACCGGGAATCGAACCCATGACCTCCTGGTTCCTGGGTCGACGCTAACCACTGAGCCACGCCGGCCGGGCAGTTTTGTGGAATCGAATGAACCAGATAAACAGATGATCCAAAATAGACCCAGAGACAGAGAAGCATTGAACAGACTAGGAACCTCAGAGGGAAGGCTGGGGAGGGTGGGTGGGTGGGAAGAGATCCACCAATGAACCTGTATGCGTATATGCATCACCCGTGGACGCAGACAAGAGAGGGATGAGGGCTTGGGGTGGGGGGTGGGGGGTGGCGGCGGGCTGGGGAGAGGTGAATGGGGGAAAAAGGAGGACCTATGTAACAATTCTATACGAATAAAATGGTAATATGCTAATTAGACCGGATAAAATGGACATCTTCCGGACGTCCTTCCGGACAAAGCCACGGTGGCAGGTGCCAAGGCAGAGGTAATTAGGGGCGATCAGGCTGGCAGGGGAGCAGTTAGGGGCGATCAGGCCAGCAGGGGAGAGCAGTTAGGGGCGATCAGGCCGGCAGTGTAGCGGTTAGGGGCGATCAGGCTGGCAGGGGAGGGCAGTTGGGGGCGATCAGGCCGGCAGGGAGAGCAGTTAGGGGCGATCAGGCCGGCGGGGGAGAGCAGTTAGGGGCGATCAGGCCAGCAGGGGAGAGCAGTTAGGGGCGATCAGGCCGGCAGGGGAGAGCAGTTAGGGGCGAACAGGCCGGCGGGGGAGGGCAGTTAGGGGCGATCAGGCCAGCAGGGGAGAGCAGTTAGGGGCGATCAGGCCGGCGGGGGAGAGCAGTTAGGGGCGATCAGGCCGGCGGGGGAGAGCAGTTAGGGGCGACCAGGCCTGCAGGGGAGAGCAGTTAGGGGCGAACAGGCCGGCTGGGGAGGGCAGTTAGGGGCAATCAGGCCAGCATGGGAGGGCAGTTAGGGGCGATCAGGCCGGCAGGGGAGAGCAGTTAGGGGCCATCAGGCATGTAGGCAGGTGAGCTGTTAGGAGCCAGTAGTCTTGGATTGGGAGAGGGATGTCCAACCAGCAGTTGGACATCCCCTTGGGGGTCCTGGATTGGAGAGGTTGCAGGCTGGGCTGAGGGAACCCCCCACCCTTGCACGAATTTCGTGCACCGGGCCTCTAGTTCAATAACAAAGATTAAAACAAGAAAATAATAAAACAGTTAAAAGAAAAAAATAACGAATCAAATTTGATCATGAGAAATTGTCATTTCTACCCTCGATAGGAAAGCAAACTCCTTGCCCGGCCTGTGTGGTTCAGTGGTGAGCATCGACCTGTGAACCAGCAGGTCCCGGGTTCGATTCCCGGTCCAGGACACATGCCTGGGTTGCCGGCTCCATCCTCAGTACGGGGCGTGCAGGAGGTGGCCGATCCATGATTCTCTCTCATCATGGATGCTTCTCTCTCTCTCTCTTCCCCCCCTTCCTCTCTGAAATCAGTAAAAATATATTAAAGGAAATAATAGAAGAAAAATCCTTGGTTAGCAGGATTTTCTGTCTTAAGGAGATGGCTCCGTTCCAGGGAAGGGCTGGAATGAGGAGGGAAGACTCCGCCCCAAGAATTTGGGGTACCCTCACACTTACCCTTATAAATCCCGTTCCAGCCCCCGTACTGGTGGGGTCCCAGTTGAGCCTCCAGAGACCCCCCATGATCCGACGTAAAATACACGAGGGTCCTGTTGGTGAGGCCTTCCCTGTCCAGGACATCAAGGATCCGCCCTGCAGAGAACGGATGCATTTGGACCAATCGACACAGGCGACTGTCTGCCCGGCCGGTGTGGCTCAGTGGTTGAGCATCGACCTATGAACCAGGAGGTCAGGGTTCGAATCCCGGTCAAGGGCACATGCCCAGGTTGCAGGCTCCATCCCCAGTCGGGGGCGAGCAGGAGGCGGCCGGTCCGTGATTCTCTCTCATCATGGATGTGTGTCTCTCCCCCTCTTTTTTTCCTCTCTGAAATCAGTCAAAATCCTTTTTAAACAAATCAGAAAAAACAAACAAAACCCATGAATGTTGGTCTTTTATTCCCGACAATCTGGGGGCATGGGTTAAAAGGGCTTAGTTGCTGGGTAGGAGGTCGGTATTAGACACACGGCCCTCTCTTCCCTTAAAAAGCTATTCTTGCCCTGGACCACCCGGCTCCGTGGTTGAGCGTTGACCTAGGAACCAGGAGGTCAGGGTTCGAATCCCGGTAGAGGGCACACGCCCGGGTTGTGGGCTCGATCCCCAGTAGGGGGTGGGCAATAAGCAGCCGATCAATAATTCTCTCTTATCATGGATGTTTCTCTCTCTCCCTCTCCCTTCCTCTCTCTGAAATCAATACAGTATATATCTATCTATATCTATATCTATATCTATATCTATATATCATCTATATCTATATCTATACCTATATCTATATATCTAATCTATATCTATATCTATATCTATCTATATCATCTATATCTATATCTATATCTATATCACCTATATCTATATCTATATATCTATATCTATATCTATATCTATATCTATATCATATCTACATCTATATCTATATCACCTATATCTATATCATCTATATCTATATCTATATCTATACCTATATCTATATCTATATCTATATCTATATCTATATCTATATCTATATCTATATCTATATCTATATCTATATCACCTATATCTATATCATCTATATCTATATCTATATCTATATATGTAATCAATATCTATATCTATATCTCTGTCTCTATATCTATATCTATATCTTCTATATCTATATCTATCTATATCTATATCTATATCTATATATCTATATCTATAATCTATATCTATATCTATATCTATATCTATATCTATATCTTAATTATACTATATCTATATCTATATCTATACTATCTAATCTATATCATCTATATCTATACCTATACCTATACCTATACCTATACCTATACCTATAACCTATATCTATATCTATATCTATATCTATATCTATATCATAATCTATATCTATATCTATCTATCTAATAAAAACAAGACAAAACAGTTAAAGCTTCACCTTGAGACAAAAGAAAATTACACACATAAAAACGAAGGGACCGGGAAGGTCTAAGACGGAGGCTGATGATGGTGTTGAGGTTGGACATCTGTTGGTGAAGAATTGTGTATTGTGTTAAATGGTGGCTCTAACTTTCTTCAAGTTACACGAAAGATATCGCACCCAATCTCCCCCGATTCCTTGCTGTAATTCCGTACAGTTCACCATACCCAGGACCTGGAAACAACCTAACGGTCCCCCAGTGGGTGAATGCATTAAAAAGCGGTGGTATGTCCATACAGTAGAATAGTATACAGCCAGGAAAAAGGAAAAAAACATCCAGCCAAATGCAACAGCATGGGTGGACTTCAAAGGCATGATGGTGACAGAAGGAAAACCAATACCGTATGATGTCATGTATACGTGGAATCCAATAAAATAAAATTAAAATTAATCTGGCACTGAGTCACTCACCCACCATCCAGTCCATCTCCTCGACGTTGTCTCCGTAGAGCCCGTGGCGGCTTCTCCCAATGAAGTTCTCCGTGGTGATGAGAGGGGTGTGGACGTGCAGAAAGGACACGAAGAGAAGGAATGGTCCTTGCTTGTTCCTAGAAATAAATACAAGGGGAGCACAGTGTTTTGGGGTTTTTATTTTGGCGCCTGGCTGGTGTGGCTCAGTGGTTGAGCGTCGACATAGGAACCAGGAAGTCATAATTCGATTCCCGGCCAAGGGCACAGGCCCGGGTTGTGGTCTCCATCCCCAGTGGGGGGCGTGCAGGAGGCAGCCGATCCACGGTTCTCTCTCATCAGTGATGTTTCTCTCTCTCTCTCTCTCCCTTCATCTCTCTCTAAAAAATAATAATAAAATAATCAGCGATAAAGCGGGGGGGTGGGTAGAGGCTGGGAGGAGGGGGGAAATGGGAGACATCTGTAATACTATCTATTTCCTATATTTAAGCCTAAGTGTCCATCTGTTCGACCGTCCGACGGGTAGCTGTGACACACACTGACCACCAGGGGGCAGACGATCCAGCCGGTAGCTATGACGTGCACTGACCACCAGGGGCAAGACGCTCTGACCGGTAGCTATAATGTGCACTGACCACCAGGGGGCAGACGCTCCAGCCGGTAGCTTGACACACACTGACCACCAGGGGGCAGACGCTACGACAGGTAGCTATGACATGCCCTGACCACCAGGGGGCAGACACTCTGACCGGTAGCTATGACATGCACTGACCACCAGGGGGCAGACGCTCTGACCGTTAGCTATGACGTGCACTGACCACCAGGGGGCAGACGCTCTGACCGGTAGCTATGACATGCACTGACCACCAGGGGGCAGACGATTCAGCCGGTAGCTATGACATGCACCTACCACCAGGGGGCAGACGCTCTGACTGGTAGCTATGACATGCACTGACCACCAGGGGGCAGACGCTCTGACTGGTAGCTATGACGTGCACTGACCACCAGGGGGCAGACGCTCTGACTGGTAGCTATGACGTGCACTGACCACCAGGGGGCAGACGCTCCGGCCGGTAGCTATGATGCGCACTGACCACCAGGGGGCAGACACTCCGGCCTGTAGCTATGACATGCACCTACCACCAGGGGCAGACGCTCTGACTGGTAGCTATGACATGCACTGACCACCAGGGGGCAGACGCTCTGACTGGTAGCTATGACCCTCACTGACCACCAGGGGGCAGACGCTCTGACTGGTAGCTATGACATGCACTGACCACCAGGGGGCAGACGCTCCGACTGGTAGCTATGACGTGCACTGACCACCAGGGGGCAGACGCTCTGACTGGTAGCTATGACGTGCACTGACCACCAGGGGGCAGATGCTCTGACTGGTAGCTATGACATGCACTGACCACCAGGGGGCAGACGCTCTGACTGGTAGCTATGACGTGCACTGACCACCAGGGGGCAGACGCTCTGACTGGTAGCTATGACATGCACTGACCACCAGGGGGCAGATGCTCTGACTGGTAGCTATGACATGCACTGACCACCAGGGGGCAGACGCTCTGACTGGTAGCTATGACATGCACTGACCACCAGGGGGCAGATGCTCTGACTGGTAGCTATGACGTGCACTGACCACCAGGGGGCAGACACTCTGACTGGTAGCTATGACATGCACTGACCACCAGGGGGCAGACCGACCGGTAGCTATGACATGCACTGACCACCAGGGGGCAGACGTGCTGACTGGTAGCTATGACTTACACTGACCACCAGGGGGCAGACGTGCTGACTGGTAGCTATGACTTACACTGACCACCAGGGGGCAGACGTGCTGACTGGTAGCTATGACATGCACCTACCACCAGGGGGCAGACGCTCTGACCGGTAGCTATGACATGCACTGACCACCAGGGGGCAGACGTGCTGACTGGTAGCTATGACTTACACTGACCACCAGGGGGCAGACGCTCTGGTAGCTATGACATGCACTGACCACCAGGGGGCAGACGCTCTAACTGGTAGCTATGATGGGCACTGACCACCATGGGGCAGACGCTCTGACTGGTAGCTATGACACACACTGACCACCAGGGGGCAGACCGACCAGTAGCTATGACACACACTGACCACCAGGGGGCAGACCGTCCGGTAGCTATGACGTGCACTGACCACCAGGGGGCAGACACTAAATGCAGGAGCTTTGGTGACTTGGCAGCTGCAGTTCTCGGGTGATGCACCCAGAACCAGAGAGGAGGCAGCCCGATTCGGGGGTGTGTCACCCGAGAACCACCCTCTCGCCATCTGGGACCCCTCGGGCGATGTCGGGGAGTCAGTTTTGGCCCGAACCCCGCAGGCCAGGCCGAGGGATCCTCACTGGTGCACAAATCATTCAACAATAAAAAACAAAAAAACTAGCAAAAAAAAAATGGCCATTGCAATGACTAGGTCCTTCCTCAAATATTAGTCTTTGCTACTCAACCCACAAGAAGCAAATGAGAGACGGTTCTTGAGTCTGAGGCTCTTTCCTGGGGCAGCGTTTCCCCTTGGAAAGTCTTGAAAGAAATTAATGCTGGTTTTATGCATCCTTTTTTTTTTCTCTCCCTGAATACCGTCATCCTTATTTATTTATTTTAAAAAATATATCTTTATTGATTTCCGAGAGGAAGGAAGAGGGAGAGAGAGGACCGTCCATGATGAGAGAGAATCATGGACCGGCCGCCTCCTGCACGCCCCTGACTGGGGATGGAGCCCGCAACCCGGGCCTGTGCCCTTGACCGGAATCGAACCCGCGACCCTTCAGTCTGTGGGCAGACACTCTACCCACTGAGCCACACCAGCCAGGGCCCCCACGACTCATGTGAACCAAACCTGTCTCTTTGGACCTGGCACACATCACCATGCGAACACTCAGGACAGAAAAAAAATTCTGAATATTGTCCCCTCACGAACGAGAGCCATGAATCGGACCTGCCCCCATTTCCCCCTCGCCCGCCCCCTCCCCCTTGGCCCCCCGGGCTCTCACCGTTGGATAAAGGACGAGACCTCCGTGAGCATGAGCGACGCCGTCCTCGAGAAGTTCATGGGCTGCTCCGTGATGCCGTGGTTCCTCATCAGGAAGCAGTCCGCGCGGACGATGAGCACGCCCAGGACGCGCGAAGAGATAAACAACAAGGTGGACGCAATGACGGAGCAGATGACGGGCGCCCAGGAGACCGGGAGGAGGCGGGTGCGTTTCCCAGCGGCGAGCGTCAGGGCCGCGAAGGCCGCGATTTGGACGCCGACGTGGAGTGTGCGCTCCAGGCCGGCGCGCTTCTCCGAGATGTCCCAGCGGGCACAGTCGCCCATCATGGAAAAGGGCATCCCGTAGAAATGGTCGAATCCGTGGCGGAGGGGGTGGTGGCAGTGGTCGGTCGAGGATTCACAGTTGAGACCCAGGTGCCATTTTCCTAAGAAAGCAAGAATTGTAGGTTTCTATGCCCGGCTGGTGTGGCTCAGTGGATGAGCGTTGACCTAGGAACCAGGAGGTCATGGGTTCGATTCCCGGTCAAGGGTACCTGCCCGGGTTGCGGGCTCGATCCCCAGTGGGGGGCGAGCAGGAGGCAGCCAATCCATGATTCTCTCTCATCCTGGATGTGTCTCTCTCTCCTTCTCCCTCTCCCTTCCTCTCTGAAATCAATAAAAATATTAAAAAAAATAAATCAAAAACAATTATTACTATAACATAGTAATGATTCGAGTCCCCCGTACATTTACTTTTTATATATATTTTTATTGATTTCAGAGAGAAAGGGAGAGAGACAGAGAGAGAGAAACATCAATGATGAGAGAGAATCACAGATCAGCTGCCTCCTGCATGTCCCCTACTGGGAATCGCACCACTGGGGGCGTAGATATAGATATGTAGATAGATAGAGATAGAAAGATAGATATTGATCATGATAACTTGGTCTCCTTTCAAGAAATTATCGTCCTTGCCCAGCCAGCGTGGCTCAGTGGTTGAGCGCCGACCTATGAACCAGGAGGTCAGGGTTCGATTCCCCATCAGGACACATGCCCGGGGGGTGGGCTTGATCACCAGTGGGGGATGCTGTGGTTCTTCATCAGAACCCAGTCTGCGTGTGAAGAGATAAAGAAAAAGGTGGTCGCAATGATCGACCAGATGAGGGGCACCCATGGGATGGAGAGGAGGCGGGTGTGCCTCCCAGCGGCCAGTTTCAGGGCCTTGCAGGCCATGGTTTTCACACAGAAGTTCTCTCTCTCTCTCTCTCTCTCTCTCTCTCTCTCTCTCTCTCTCTCCCCCTCTCTCTTCCTCTCTCCGTTCTACTCTCTGAAATCAATAAAAACACGTTAAAGAAATGCACAGACAAACGATGTTCTGAAAGCTGGGAAACATACACACCGATTAGTCCCGTGGCATAGCCCCGATCCTTCAGTATCTTCGCAAACGTCGTCTCATTGGCCGGAAGGCCGCCCGGGACTGCCGTCCACTGGAGAACGCGGGAACCGTCGCTGGACACCATGCCTTTTGGGGGATCGTTTTACAAAGAAACGGCACCGTCACGCACTGGTCTTTATTCTTATCGTCTCAATTTTTTCACTTAAAAAAATGAGCATTTCCCAATGACAATTCACGGTCAGTATTATATACAAGTGGCCTGATGCATGGATTCATGCACAGTGAAAGGGAATTAGTGCCGAAACTGGTGTGGCTCAGTGGATAGAGCATCGGCGTGCGGACTGAAGGGTCCTGGGTTCGATTCTGGTCAAGGGCATGTACCTTGGTTGTGGGCACATCCCCAGTAGGGGGTGTGCAGGAGGCAGCTGATCGATGTTTCTCTCTCATCATCCATGTTTCTAACTCTCTATCCCTCTCCCTTCCTCTCTGCAAAAAATCAAGAGAATATATTTTTTACAAAAAGGGAATTAGCTAGAAGAAAGATTCGTGTGGTAATTGCGTGACTGCAAAAAATTACATGTCAAAATAGTGTCTATAATACTAGTGGCCCAGTGCACAAATTCGTGCATGGGTGGGGTTCCTCGGCCTGGCCGGCGATCTGGGGTGATGGGGGCTGATTGGAGTCGGTCGTCTGGGGGGAGGGACCACGGTAGGTTGGCTGGCTGTGGGGGGTTGGCTGTGGGAGTGCACTGACCACCAGGGGGCAGCTCCTGCGTTGAATGTCTGCCCCCTGGTGGTCAGTGCATGTCATAGCGACTTGTCATAATGGTTGGTTAGGCTTTTGTATATATAGAAAGTATTATAAACGGTGAGAGCTTTATATGTATCGCGCATGCGTGGGCCAACATTTATTTTTTTATTTTTTATTTTTTTTAATATTTTATTGATTTTTTACAGAGAGGAAGGGAGAGGGATAGAGAGTTAGAAACATCGATGAGAGAGAAACATCGATCAGCTGCCTCCTGCACGCCCCCTACTGGGGATGTGCCCGCAAACAAGGTACATACCCTTGACCGGAATCGAACCTGGGACCCTTCAGTCCGCAGGCCGACGCTCTATCCACTGAGCCACACTGGTTAGGGCTCAACATTGATGTTTAAATTGCTAGTGTGCGTCATATGTACCGGCCGTCCGGTTGGGCGGATGGTCGGTCGAACATACGGTCGGTCACAGCCTTTTATATATATTGATGAGTTTCAGATGGTGGTTAGACGTGTATATACTTTATAAAGTGAACCCGGGATATGTCCACTGCCCACCTGGCACTATATATAGTTATTACAATACTAGAGGCCCGGTGCATGAAATTCATGTAATCGTGGGGGGGATCCCTTAGTCTGGATGGCGAGAGGGCGCAGGCCAGGCAGAGGGACCCCCACGAGTGCACGATCGGGGCCAGAGAGGGACATGGGAGGTTGGCCAGCTGGGGAGGGACCACGGGAGGCTCCAGGGCGTGTCCGGCCCGTCTCGCTCAGTCCCGAACGGCTGGTCCCCAGCAGCAAGCTAGTCTACCAGTCGGAGTGTCTGCCTCCTGGTGGTCAGTGCATGTCATAGCGACTGGTTGACCCTTTGACTGTCTGCCCCCTGGTGGTCAGTGTATGTCATAGCGACTGGTCGACTGGTCGACTGTCTACCCCTGGTGGTCAGTGCACGTCATAGCGACTGGTCGACCAGTCGACTGTCTGCCACCTGGTGGTCAGTGTATGTCATAGCGACTGGTCGACCAGTCGACTGTATAGCCCCCTGGTGGTCAGTGCACGTCATAGCGACTGGTCGACCAGTCGACTGTCTGCCCCCTGGTGGTCAGTGCACGTCATAGCGACTGGTCGACCCGTCGACTGTCTGCCACCTGGTGGTCAGTGTATGTCATAGCGACTGGTCGACCAGTCGACTGTATAGCCCCCTGGTGGTCAGTGCACGTCACAGCGACTGGTCGACCAGTCGACTGTCTGCCACCTGGTGGTCAGTGCACGTCATAGCGACTGGTCGACCATTCGACTGTCTGCCCCCTGGTGGTCAGTGCACGTCATAGCGACCGGTCGACCCGTCGACTGTCTGCCACCTGGTGGTCAGTGTATGTCATAGCGACTGGTCGACCAGTCGACTGTATAGCCCCCTGGTGGTCAGTGCACGTCATAGCGACTGGTCGACCATTCGACTGTCTGCCCCCTGGTGGTCAGTGCACGTCATAGCGACTGGTCGACCCGTCGACTGTCTGCCCCCTGGTGGTCAGTGCACGTCATAGCGACTGGTCGACCCGTCGACTGTCTGCCCCCTGGTGGTCAGTGCACGTCATAGCGACTGGTCGACCCGTCGACTGTCTGCCCCCTGGTGGTCAGAGTATGTCATAGCAACTGCTCAAAATGTCGATTTTCTGCCCCCTGGTGGTCAGTGTACGTCATAGCCACTGGCCGACCGGTCGACTGTCTAGCCCCTCTCTCTCTAAAAATCAATAAAAACATAACCTTGGTGGAGCATGACTTGGCGGCCAGACACAGGAAGGACTCACCCGATCGCAGGGGGTACCTGCCCGTGAGGAAGGCAGCGCGACTTGGGGTGCAGACGGAAGCCGCGGCGAGGTGCTGGGTGAGCCGCACGCCATCCTGGGCGAGACGGTCGATGTTTGGGGTCCTGCGGGACGGAGACAAGAATCATTTTCTCCCTTCAGCAATGAAAGCCGTGGCTTCCCCGTCAATATCTGAGGGTCATCACTGAATACATGAGGGGGGCCTGTCCGGTGTGGCTCAGTGGTTGAGCATCGACCTATGAACCAGGAGGTCACAGTTTAATTCCCGGTCAATGATACAGGCCCGGGTTGGGGGCTCCATCCCCAGTGCGGGGCGTGCAGGAGGCAGCCAATCCATGATTCTCTCTCATCTTTGATGTTTCTCCCTCCTTCTCTCTCTCTCTCTCTCTCTCTCTCTCTCTCTCTCCCTCTCCTTTCCTTGCTCTCTAAAATTAATAAAAACAGGCGAATCTTATGGTTTTAAAATATATTTTCATTTTAAAATCGAGCCGTGACCTCCTGGTTCATGGATCGATGCTCAACCCCTGATGAACACCAGCCGGGCAAAACATGCTAATCTTAAGAATGAAGGAAAGAAAGAAAGAAGAAAGAAAGAAAGAAAGAAGGAAAGAAAGAAAAAGAAGAATGACAGCCCTAACCGGTGTGGCTCAGTGGATAGAGCGTCGGCCTGCGGACTCAAGGGTCCGGGGTTCGATTCCCGGTCAAGGGCATGTATGTTGGTTGTGGGCACATCCCCAGTAGGGGGCGTGCAGGAGGCAGCTGATGGATGTTTCTAACTCTCGATCCCTCTCCCTTCCTCTCTGTAAAAAAAAATCAATAAAATATATTTTTTAAAAATGAGAAAGACAGAAAGCAAATGAGAGGAAAAAATAAAAGAAAAAGAAAGAGATAGAAAGAAAGAAAAGAAAGAAAACGAGAAAAACAAAAAAGAAATAAAGGAAAGAAAGAGAAAGAAAACAGAAAAGAAAGAAAAAAAAGATAAAAGAAGGAAAAATAAAAAAAGAAAGACAATGAAAAAATAGGAAGAAATAAAAAAGAACAGAAAGAAAGAGAGAGAGAAGTACCCCCGCATGGGACGCATTTGAGCTGGTGATGTCGCGGGCCCGGGCAGATAGCGGGATGCGGGGTGCTTCAGGGCGTGTGCAGAATTCTCTTCACATCCCCACTGTCCATTTCCAGGGTTCAGTGCATCCCCCCAGGGTTCAGGAAACAGGGGTCCCCCCTTTGGGGCAACACCCGGGGGGGCGATGATCTCCTTCTTGCCTGATGGTGTTGTTGCCATAACAGCCGACGTCCCCGATGCCAAGGTCGTCCGCCATCAGCAGAAGGATGTTGGGACGTGAGGCGGATACATCCCTAGAGTCGGTCGGCCTCGAACCCAGGATGCTGATGGTCACGGCGAGCCAGGCTCTGCAAAGCAAGCTGACAAAGGCATGTTTAGGGTTTCTTTTTTTCATTTCATTTCATTTCATTTCTTTTCTTTCTTTTCTTTTCTTTTCTTTTCTTTTCTTTTCTTTTCTTTTCTTTTCTTTTCTTTTCTTTTCTTTTCTTCCCTTCCCTTCCCTTTCCTTTTCTTTCCTCTCTCTCTCTCTCTCTCTCTCTCTCTCTCTCTTTCCTCATTGATTTCAGAGAATGACGAGAGGGAGGGAGACAGAAACATCGATGATGAGAGAGAATCATGCAGGATTGTGGGCGGGCTCCAGGGCGTGTCTGGCCCGTCTTGCGGAGTTCCAATCAGCCAGACGCCAGCAGTAAGCTAACCTACTGGTCAGAGCGTCTGCCCCCTGGTGGTCAGTGCACGTCATAGCGATTGGTCGACCGGTCGACTGTCTGCCCCCTGGTGGTCAGCGCACGTCATAGCGACCGGTCGACCGGTCGACTGTCTGCCCCCTGGTGGTCAGTGCACGTCACAGCGACTGGTCGACCGGTCGACTGTCTGCCCCCTGGTGGTCAGCGCACGTCATAGCGACCGGTCGACCGGTCGACTGTCTGCCCCCTGGTGGTCAGCGCACGTCATAGCGACCGGTCGACCGGTCGACTGTCTGCCCCCTGGTGGTCAGTGCACGTCATAGCGACTGGTCGACCGGTTGACTGTCTGCCCCCTGGTGGTCAGTGCACGTCACAGCGACTGGTCGACCGGTCGACCGTCTGCCCCCTGGTGGTCAGTGCACGTCATAGCGACTGGTCGACCGGTCGACTGCCCCCTGGTGGTCAGTGCACGTCGCAGCTACTGGTCGACCGGTTGAACGGTCAACTGTCTGTCCCCTGGTGGTCAGTGCACGTCATAGCGACTGGTCGACTGCCCCCTGGTGGTCAGTGCACGTCATAGCAATTGGTTGAGCAGCCTTAGCATATCATTAGCATATTACGCTTTGATTGGTTGAACGGCGGACCGGTCGACTGGATATTTAGCATATTAGCCTTTTATTCTATAGGATTGATTTCAGAGAGGAAGGGACAGAGAGAGATAGAAACATCCATGACGAGAGAGAATCAGGGACCGGCCGCCTCCTGCACGCCCCCTGCTGGGGATGGAGCCCACAACCCGGGCCTGTGCCCTTGACCGGGAATCGAACCCGGGACCTCCTGGCTCACAGGTCGACGCTCAAACCAGTGAGCCACAAGCAATGCTTCAAGAGAAATGATTTTTTTTTGTTCTTGGCGCATTTGGTAACGGGGACGTGGAGACGTGCGGAGGCCGACATGGGAGACTGGTGGCTGCGCCGCGTCCCTTCCTACCTGGAACGTTCCGGATGTAACATGTTCACTTTCTTGCTTCTCGTCTCCTGTGAGGAGGAAAGATATTATTCATGACACAGGCAGCCGGTGGCTGATTCTCTCTCATCATGGCCGTTTCTCCCTCTCTCCCTTCCTCCCTGAAGTCAATAAAAATATATATGTGTCTATGACGGAAAACACGTTACACTTAAAATCCTTTTCATCTTGAAATAATGAAGGCTTATGGCATGTACCATTATTATAGGTCAGATCATTTTTCTTGAATAATTGGTGTTTAATGCATGTAACATCATCCTATTTAAGATCATGTTTCTAGAGATATCAAGGTTCATTGCGTGTAACATTATTATATTTAAAGTCATTTTTCTTGAAATAAAAGAAATAAAAAAAAATAAATTCAAACCAAAAAGAAAAAAAGGAAAAAACAAAACAATGCCCTAGCCAGTGTGGCTCGGTGGACAGAGCATTGTCCTGTGGACTGCAGGGTCCCGGGTTCGATTCCCGGTCAAGGGCACAGGCCCGGGTTGCGGGCTCCGTCCCCAGTCGGGGGCGTGCAGGAGGCAGCCGGTCCATGATTCTGTCTCATCATGGATGTTTCTCTCTCTCTCCCTCTCCCTTCCTCCCTGAAAGCAATAAAATATATTTAAAAATATCCTATAGAATAAAAGCCTAATTTGCTAATTGCGTCTTCGACTGGGAGTTGGGCCGGGAGTTCGACCGGGAGGTGGGGAGAGCCGGCTGGCTGGCTGGACCCCAACAGGCACCAATTCACGCACCCAGCCTCTAATATATATATATATATATATATTTTTTAAAGTTGACAACCTTAAGAAAAAAGGAAAACACGCAAAAAAATTTTAAAGTAAGAATTTCTTTTCGTTTTAATTATATATATATAATTATATATAAATTATATATATATAAATATATATATTATATGATATATATTTTTTAAAACATTGATTTCTTTTTTTAATATATTTTATTGATTTTTTACAGAGAGGAAGGGAGAGGGATAGAGAGCTAGAAACATCGACGAGAGAGAAACACCGATCAGCCGCCTCCTGCACGCCCCCCACTGGGGATGTGCCCACAACCCAGGTCCATGCCCTCGACCGGGAATCGAACCCGGGACCCTTCGGTCCTCAGGCCGACGCTCTACCCACTGAGCCACACCGGCCAGGGCCGGTTTCTTCATTTTGGGTTGGAAAGTGGGGGCAGCAGCGTCTGATACACGGGGGCGTCTTACACGGCAGAGGGTAGGATGCCGGCCCCCCGGGGTGGGAGGTGGGGGGCAGAGGAGAAGGCGTTAAGGCCCCAAATGCGAACCTCGACTATGAATTCCGTCTGCAGACCTCACGCCCCAGCCCACGGCCGGCCAACTGCGGCTCGCGAGCCACCTGCGGCTCTCGGGACCCTTAGAGTGCGGCTCTTCCCCAGCCTTAGGCGTCCCCTCATCCAGTGAATCACCCGGGACCTGCTTATATAGTTTAAGTTTAAAAAATTGGGCTCCCCAAAGGAATCTCAGTCGTCGTCCTGTCGATATTTGGCTCCGTTGGCTCATCATAATCCGCGATCCTGCGACGTTTACGGACCCCCAGGAGGCCCAGAGACACGCTAGAAACCCAGCCAGGCCTTTCTGGAACATTCCGGAGCCGTTTGCGAACCCCCAGGGCATTGCAAACACCTGCCACAATATTAGGAACAAACACCCAGAATTTCCGGAGGAGGACGAGGAGGAGGCCCAGAAATAAAGGATTTTTTTTTTAAATAAAAGATTCCCAGGTGATTCGAAGGTGCAGCCGAGGTGGAGAACCACTGCTCTCAAGTCCATAAATCAATAGCCCTGGCCGGTGTGGCTCAGTGGGTAGAGCGTCGGCCATGCAGAACGGCGGGTCCCGGGTTCGAATCCCAGCCAAGGGCACAGGCCCGGGGTGCGGGTTCGATCCCCAACCAGGAGGGGGCGTGCGGGAGGCGGCCGGTCCATGATTCTCTCTCCTCATGGATGTTTCTCTCTCCCTTTCTTCTCTAAAAATCAATAGCAACATATTTATTTTTTTTAAAAAAATAAAACATATAAGGATATTCTGTATGCATGGCACCACTCAATCGTCTGTTCATCTCCAGGCACGGAAGGTTCCGGACCAGTTTTATTTCCTTTCCAGTTCTCCCCGTATCTCCCTACACCTTTGAAGATGAGAAAAAAAGGGAAATCACATAAAATTTCTGCACCACCCTGAGTCAAAACTACGTTCTTGCCCGGCCAGTGTGGCTCAGTGGTGAGCGTCGACCTAGGAACCAGGAGGTCCCGGGTTCGACTCCCGGTCAAGGGCACAGGCCCGGGTTGCGGGCTCCATCCCCAGTCGGGGGCGTGCAGGAGGCGGCCGGTCCGTGATCCTCTCTCATCATGGATGTTTTTTTTCTCTCTCTCCCTCTCCCTTCCTCTCGGAAGTCAATGAAAAATACATTAAAAAAATAAAATGTAAAGAAAAGCAGAAAGAACAAATCAGGTCAAAGTTTAAACGAAATAAATGATAAGAATAGGAACCAGACATTTTAAGATCCAATCCAGGACCTGGCCAACCCCTCCCATCGATGCCGCAGACCCACGGGATGGCAAGAACGGTTTACGCTCAGGAAACCCACCAATTGGACAGTTTCGTCACCTTTCATTTTTCATTTTTTAAAAATATTTTTTTTATTGATTTCAGAGAGGAAGGGAGAGAGAGGAACATCCATGATGAGAGAGAATCACGGACCGGCCGCCTCCTGCACGCCCCCCACTGGGGATGGAGCCTGCACCCCGGGCCTGTGCCCTTGACCGGGATTCGAACCCGGGACCCTTCCGTCCGCAGGCCGACGCTCCACCCACTGAGCCACACCGGCCGGGGCTGAGTCAAACATTTCAGAATCATCTCCATCGCTTGGCAACGCGTCCTGTGCGTGATCCACGTCCCACGCGGTTCAGGGTTCGAGCTCTGGAGAGGGGGCCGCCCGCAGATGACGGAGACGAGACAAGAAATAATAATTTGGAAATTGGGGGTGCCGGGGGGGGGGGGGGGGGGAGAGCCCAGCCCCGAGAGGGGGGACCTCCGGGACTCCTGGACTCGGCTCAGGCCTCCCCCATCCTTTTGTTGATTTTGGGATCCACCCATAGCCCTTCGGCGGAAAGTTCCGGAAACGGACGGACTATCTCATGGGGAAGGATTTACGTGAGTCTCTGGTGAGCCCACCCATGAGTCAACAGAGCCCGATATCCACAGGACGACGATGGCAATCTCCTTGGGGAGCCGAATTTTTTAAACTTAAACTATATCCGCCGGTCCATTGTGATTCGCGGAATGAGGGGGCGCCCAAGGCTGAGGAAGAGCCGCACGCAAGGGGCCAGAGAGCCGCAGGTGGCTCCCGAGCCGCGGTTGGCCGGCCATGGGGGGGGGGGGGGGACTCTGGACTTCAACGGCGGGTGCCCAGCCCTGACCTTCGCCGGGGCTCGAGGGACACCAGCGGTCAGGGCTCCTGGACTGGACGGGTAAGAAGGGTTTCGTCAGCCCCGGCCAGTGTGGCTCAGTGGGTAGAGCGTCGGCCGGCGGACGGGAGGGTCCCGGGTTCGATTCCCGGTCGAGGACACATGCCCGGGTCGCGATGTAATAATATTGCATGCAGTGAACGTGATAATATCTCAAGAAAAACGATTTTAAGTATAATAATGTTCCATGTAATAAACATTAATATTAATACTTCAAGAAAATCGATTTTAAATAGAGTCATGTTTCTTGCAATAAACTCAAATTATTCAATGGAAACGATCTTAGATATAATGTTACATGCAGTAAACAGTAATATGAATACGTCAAGAAAAAGGATTTAAATATATTAATGTTCCATGCAATAAACATTAATATTTCAAGAAAATCGATTTTAAATAGAGTAGTGTTACTTACAATCAACAGCAATTATTCAAGGGAAACGATCTTAGACATAATGGTACTTGCAGTAAACGTGATAATATCTCAAGAAAAAGATTTTAAATATAGTCATGCTACATGCAATAAACATTAATATCAATACTTCAAGAAAATCGATTTTAAATAGAGTAATGCTACATGCAATAAACATTAATATCAATACTTCAAGAAAAACGATTTTAAATATAGTCATGGTACATGCAATAAACATTAATATCAATACTTCAAGAAAATCGATTTTAAATAGAGTAATGTTACTTGCAATCAACAGCAATTATTCAAGGAAAAACGATCTTAGATATAATAATGTTACATGCAGTAAACGTGATAATATCTCACGAAAAACGATTTTAAGTACAGTGATTGTACATGCAATAAACATTCATATGAATACGTCAAGAAAAACGATTTAAATATATTAATGTTCCATGCAATAAACATTAATATTTCAAGAAAATCGATTTTAAATAGAGTAATGTTACTTGCAATAAACAGTAATATGAATACGTCAAGAAAAAGGATTTAAATATAATAATGCTACATGCAATCAACATTAATATTTCAAGAATCGGTTTTAAATAGAGTAATGTTACTTGCAATCAACGGCAATTATTCATGGAAAAACGATCTTAGATATAATAATGTTACATGCAGTAAACGTGATAATATCTCAAGAAAAACGATTTTAAGTACAGTGATACCTCATGCAATAAACATTCATATGAATACGTCAAGGAAAACGATTTAAATATAATAATGCTACATGCAATCAACACTAGTTATTCAAGAAAAACTATCTTAAATATAATAATAATACATGGAAATAAGCAGTATAATATCTCAAGAAAAACGATTTAAATATAATAATGTTCCACGCAATAAACATTAATATTTCAAAATTCGATTTTAAATAGAGTCATGTTACTTGCAATAAACTCAAATTATTCAATGAAAACAATCTTAGATATAATCCTCCATGCAATAAACAGTAATATGAATACATCAAGAAAAAGGATTTAAATATAATAATGCTACATGCAATAAACATTAATATTTCAAGAATCGATTTTAAATAGAGTAGTGTTACTTGCAATCAACACCAATTATTCAAGGGAAACGATCTTAGATATAATGTTACTTGCAGTAAACGTTATAATATCTCAAGAAAAAGATTTTAAATATAGTCATGCTACATGCAATAAACATTAATATTAATACTTCAAGAAAATCGATTTTAAATAGAGTAGTGTTACTTGCAATCAACAGCAATTATTCATGGAAAAACGATCTTAGATATAATAATGTTACATGCAGTAAACGTGGTAATATCTAAAGAAAAACGATTTTAAGTATAGTGATACCTCATGCAATAAACATTCATATGAATACGTCAAGAAAAACGACTTAAATATAATAATGTTCCATGCAATAAACATTAATATTTCAAGAAAATCGATTTTAAATAGAGTAATGCTACATGCAATAAACATTAATTTTAATACTCCAAGAAAATCGATTTTAAATATAGTAATGTTACTTGCAATCAACACCAATTATTCATGGAAAAACGATCTTAGATATAATAATGTTACATGCAGTAAACGTGGTAATATCTCAAGAAAAACGATTTTAAGTATAGTGATACTACATGCAATAAACATTCATATGAATACGTCAAGAAAAACGATTTAAATATATTAATGTTCCATGCAATAAACATTAATACTTCAAGAAAATCGATTTTAAATGTAGTAACGTTACTTGCAATAAACTCAAATTATTCAATGAAAGCGATCTTAGATATAATGTTACATGCAATAATCATAATATTTCAAGAAAAACGATTTTAAATATAGTCATGCTAAATGAAATAAACATTCATATGAATACGTCAAGAAAAACGATTTAAATATAATAATGTTCCATGCAATAAACATTAATATTTCAAAAAATCGATTTTAAATAGAGTCATGCTACATGCAATAAACATTAATATGAATACGTCAAGAAATACGATTTAAATATATTAATGTTCCATGCAATAAACATTAATATTTCAAGAAAATCGATTTTAAATAGAGTAATGTTACTTGCAATAAACAGCAATGATTCAATGAAAGCGATCTTAGATATAATGTTCCATGCAATAAACATAATATCTCAAGAAAATCGATTTTAAATAGAGTCATGCTACATGCAATAAACATTCATATGAATACGTCAAGAAAAACGATTTAAATATAAGAAGGCTACATGCAATCAACACAAGTTATTCAAGAAAAAGTATCTTAAATATAATAATAATAACGCAGGCAAATAAACAGTATACTATCCCAGGAAAAACGATTTAAATAGAATAATGTCCCAGGCAATAAACATGGATATGTCAAGAAAAGCAGTTTTAGGTATAATAACGCCACGCGCAGCAAACACCAAAGATCCAAGAGAAACGAATTAAAATGTAACAATAATACCCCTTGCAGTCACCACGAATATCGCAAGAATAAAAGGATTTCCAGCAGAAGAATAAAGAATTATTTTTAAAAATAAAATGAATCATTCCCAGGGCGCGCGCACGGCACCCAGCCATCGCGGGGTGCTGGCCGCACAGGCGTGGGGTCCCCTGCCAGCCCCCCCCCCCGACCCCCCAAAATAGCAAGCGAGTTACCTGACACGTGAGCCGGCTCCCTTCTTGCAGGAGCTCGAGGTCGGGGTGCCTCCGGGCCCCACCGCGCATGTGCAGTGGGAGCTGACTCACCCTCCAGACACACAGGGAACCCAGCCCCCGGGGGTGTGGCTCAGTGGATAGAGCGTCCGCCTGGGGACTCGAGGGTCCCGGGTTCGAGTCCCTCAAGGCCCAGGTGGTGGACTCGACCCCCCAGTAGGGGGCGTGCGGGAGGCAGCGATGGTTCTATGCTTCTCTCCCTTCTCTGAAATCAATGAAAATATACGTTTAAATCAATAAAATCAATAAACAGAATTTCCAGCAATTGGCTTAAAAGAATAAATAAAATAAATTAAAAAGAGAATTCCAGTAAATGAAGAATCCCAGCCCCAGCCAGTGTGGCTCAGTGGATAGAGCGTCCGCCTGGGGACTCGAGGGTCCCGGGTTCGAGTCCCTCAAGGCCCAGGTGGTGGACTCGACCCCCCAGTAGGGGGCGTGCGGGAGGCAGCGATGGTTCTATCCCTGTCTCCGTTCTCTGAAATCAATAAAAATATACATTTAAATCAATAAAATCAATAAACAGAATTCCCAGCAATTGGCTTAAAAGAATAAATAAAATAAATTAAAAAGAGAATTCCAGTAAATGAAGAATCCCAGCCCCAGCCAGTGTGGCTCAGTGGATAGAGCGTCAGCCTGCGGACTCGAGGGTCCTGGGTTCGAGTCCCTCCAGGCCCAGGTTGTGGACTCACCCCCCCCCCCCCAGTAGGGGGTGTGCAGGAGGCAGCCGACCCATGATTCTCTCTCCTCATGGACGGTTCTACCCCTCTCTCCCTCTCCCTTCTCTGAAATCAATGAAAATATACATTTAAATCAATAAAATCAATAAACAGAATTCCCAGCAATTGGCTTAAAAGAATAAATAAAATAAATTAAAAAAAGAATTCCCAGCCCCAGCCAGTGTGGCTCAGTGGATAGAGAGTCAGCCTGCGGACTCGAGGGTCCTGGGTTCGAGTCCCTCAAGGCCCAGGTTGTGGACTCAACCCCCCCCCCCCCCCAGCAGGGGGCGTGCGGGAGGCAGCTTACCCATGATTCTCTCTCCTCATGGACGGTTCTACCCCTCTCTCCCTCTCCCTTCTTCTCCCTGAAGTTTAAATCAATAAAAATCTGAATCATGGTTTAAAAGAATAAATAAGACGAATGAAATAAAGAATCCCTGAGTGGACAGAGCATCAGCCTGCGGACTGAAGAGGTCCGAGGACTTAAGGGCCCCCGCTTAAAAGAAAAAATACAACGAATTAAATAAAAAGAATCCCAGCCCCAGCCAGTGTGGCTCAGTGGATAGCGCGCCGGCCTGCGGACGGCAGGGTCCCGGGTTCGAGTCCCGCCGAGGGCACCTACCTGGGTGGCCAGCAGGGGTCCCCCCGGTCCGTGGGTTTCCTCTCTCTCTCTCTCTCTCTGTCTCCTGCTCCCCCCCCTTCCACTCTCTCTCTTAAAATCCAACAGAAGAGAGAGAGCCGCTTAGGGGTGGGCGAAGGCGCTGGGTCCGGGAGGGAGGGGAAACGTAATAAAAATAAACAGAGAAAAATTCAGTCGAAGGAAAAGGAAAACAAAAGAGCAGCAACAAAGAGGAGGGGGAACCAGAAGGGGCTTCTCCAGGCCGTGAGCGTCCGTCCGGCGAAGGCGTGTGTCCCGCCCCCAGGAACGCGGCCTCGACCACACTGGGCCCTTTATGCTCCGGAGACGGAGCCGCCCAGCCGCCCTCGGCTCCAGGGGGAAAAAAGTAAATAGAAGATAAAAATAAAACAGCCCGGCCGGCGCCCGCCAGCCCCACAGAGCAGTCGGCTCGGCGAGTGTGTCTGTGTGTGTGTGTGTGTGTGTGTGTATGAGCCTGGTATCTGCAGGGCCACAGCTTCCCCTACGTGTGTGTGTGTGTGTGTGTGTGTGTGTGTGTGTGTGTGTGTGAGCCTGGTGTCCGCAGGGCCACAGCTTCCCCTACGTGTGTGTGTGTGTGTGTGTGTGTGTGTGAGCCTGGTATCTGCAGGGCCACAGCTTCCCCTACGTGTGTGTGTGTGTGTGTGTGTGTGTGTGTGTGTGTGTGTATGAGCCTGGTGTCTGCAGGGCCACAGCTTCCCCTACGTGTGTGTGTGTGTGTGTGTGTGTGTGTGTGTGTGTGTGTGAGCCTGGTGTCCGCAGGGCCACAGCTTCCCCTACGTGTGTGTGTGTGTGTGTGTGTGTGTGTGTGAGCCTGGTATCTGCAGGGCCACAGCTTCCCCTACGTGTGTGTGTGTGTGTGTGTGTGTGTGTGTGTGTGTGTGTATGAGCCTGGTGTCTGCAGGGCCACAGCTTCCCCTACGTGTGTGTGTGTGTGTGTGTGTGTGTGTGTGTGAGCCTGGTGTCTGCAGGGCCACAGCTTCCCCTACGTGTGTGTGTGTGTGTGTGTGTGTGTGTGTGTGTGTGAGCCTGGTGTCTGCAGGGCCACAGCTTCCCCTACGTGTGTGTGTGTGTGTGTGTGTGTGTGTGTGTGTGTGTGTGTGAGCCTGGTGTCCGCAGGGCCACAGCTTCCCCTACGTGTGTGTGTGTGTGTGTGTGTGTGTGTGAGCCTGGTATCTGCAGGGCCACAGCTTCCCCTACGTGTGTGTGTGTGTGTGTGTGTGTGTGTGTGTGTGTGTATGAGCCTGGTGTCTGCAGGGCCACAGCTTCCCCTACGTGTGTGTGTGTGTGTGTGTGTGTGTGTGTGTGAGCCTGGTGTCTGCAGGGCCACAGCTTCCCCTACGTGTGTGTGTGTGTGTGTGTGTGTGTGTGTGTGTGTGAGCCTGGTGTCTGCAGGGCCACAGCTTCCCCTACGTGTGTGTGTGTGTGTGTGTGTGTGTGTGAGCCTGGTGTCTGCAGGGCCACAGCTTCCCCTACGTGTGTGTGTGTGTGTGTGTGTGAGTGTGAGCCTGGTGTCTGCAGGGCCACAGCTTCCCCTACGTGTGTGTGTGTGTGTGTGTGTGTGTGTGTGTGAGCCTGGTGTCTGCAGGGCCACAGCTTCCCCTGTGTGTGTGTGTGTGTGTGTGTGTGTGTGTGTGTGAGTGTGTGAGCCTGGTGTCTGCAGGGCCACAGCTTCCCCTACGTGTGTGTGTGTGTGTGTGTGTGTGTGTGTGTGTGTGTGAGCCTGGTGTCTGCAGGGCCACAGCTTCCCCTACGTGTGTGTGTGTGTGTGTGTGTGTGTGTGTGTGTGTGAGCCTGGTGTCTGCAGGGCCACAGCTTCCCCTACGTGTGTGTGTGTGTGTGTGTGTGTGTGTGTGTGTGTGTGTGTGAGCCTGGTGTCTGCAGGGCCACAGCTTCCCCTACGTGTGTGTGTGTGTGTGTGTGTGTGTGTGAGCCTGGTGTCTGCAGGGCCACAGCTTCCCCTGTGTGTGTGTGTGTGTGTGTGTGTGTGTGAGCCTGGTGTCTGCAGGGCCACAGCTTCCCCTACGTGTGTGTGTGTGTGTGTGTGTGTGTGTGTGTGTGTGTGTGAGAGCCTGGTGTCTGCAGGGCCACAGCTTCCCCTACGTGTGTGTGTGTGTGTGTGTGTGTGTGTGTGTGTGTGTGAGCCTGGTGTCTGCAGGGCCACAGCTTCCCCTATGTGTGTGTGTGTGTGTGTGTGTGTGTGTGTGTGTGTGTGAGCCTGGTGTCTGCAGGGCCACAGCTTCCCCTACGTGTGTGTGTGTGTGTGTGTGTGTGTGTGAGCCTGGTGTCTGCAGGGCCACAGCTTCCCCTGTGTGTGTGTGTGTGTGTGTGTGTGAGCCTGGTGTCTGCAGGGCCACAGCTTCCCCTACGTGTGTGTGTGTGTGTGTGTGTGTGTGTGTGTGTGTGTATGAGCCTGGTGTCTGCAGGGCCACAGCTTCCCCTGTGTGTGTGTGTGTGTGTGTGTGTGTGTGTGTGAGCCTGGTGTCTGCAGGGCCACAGCTTCCCCTACGTGTGTGTGTGTGTGCGTGTGTGTGTGTGAGCCTGGTGTCTGCAGGGCCACAGCTTCCCCTACGTGTGTGTGTGTGTGTGTGTGTGTGTGTGTGTGTGAGCCTGGTGTCTGCAGGGCCACAGCTTCCCCTACGTGTGTGTGTGTGTGTGTGTGTGTGTGTGTGAGCCTGGTGTCTGCAGGGCCACAGCTTCCCCTGTGTGTGTGTGTGTGTGTGTGTGTGTGTGTGTGTGTGTGTGAGCCTGGTGTCTGCAGGGCCACAGCTTCCCCTGTGTGTGTGTGTGTGTGTGTGTGTGTGTGTGAGCCTGGTGTCTGCAGGGCCACAGCTTCCCCTACGTGTGTGTGTGTGTGTGTGTGTGTGTGTGTGTGAGCCTGGTGTCTGCAGGGCCACAGCTTCCCCTGTGGTGTGTGTGTGTGTGTGTGTGTGTGTGTGTGTGAGCCTGGTGTCTGCAGGGCCACAGCTTCCCCTACGTGTGTGGTGTGTGTGTGTGTGTGTGTGTGTGTGTGTGTGAGCCTGGTGTCTGCAGGGCCACAGCTTCCCCTACGTGTGTGTGTGTGTGTGTGTGTGTGTGTGTGTGTGTGAGCCTGGTGTCTGCAAGGCCACAGCTTCCCCTACGTGTGTGTGTGTGTGTGTGTGTGTGTGTGTGTGTGTGTGTGTGAGCCTGGTGTCTGCAAGGCCACAGCTTCCCCTACGTGTGTGTGTGTGTGTGTGTGTGTGTGTGTGTGTGTGTGAGCCTGGTGTCTGCAGGGCCACAGCTTCCCCTACGTGTGTGTGTGTGTGCGTGTGTGTGTGTGTGTGTGAGCCTGGTGTCTGCAGGGCCACAGCTTCCCCTGTGTGTGTGTGTGTGTGTGTGTGTGTGTGTGTGTGAGCCTGGTGTCTGCAGGGCCACAGCTTCCCCTACGTGTGTGTGTGTGTGTGTGTGTGTGTGTGTGTGTGTGAGTGTGTGAGCCTGGTGTCTGCAGGGCCACAGCTTCCCCTACGTGTGTGTGTGTGTGTGTGTGTGTGTGTGTGTGAGCCTGGTGTCTGCAGGGCCACAGCTTCCCCTACGTGTGTGTGTGTGTGTGTGTGTGTGTGTGTGTGTGTGTGAGCCTGGTGTCTGCAGGGCCACAGCTTCCCCTACGTGTGTGTGTGTGTGTGTGTGTGTGTGTGTGTGTGTGAGAGCCTGGTGTCTGCAGGGCCACAGCTTCCCCTACGTGTGTGTGTGTGTGTGTGTGTGTGTGTGTGTATATGAGCCTGGTGTCTGCAGGGCCACAGCTTCCCCTACGTGTGTGTGTGTGTGTGTGTGTGTGTGTGTGTGTGGGCCTGGTGTCTGCAGGGC